TGGTGTTCAATTTACCAACATACAGAATAACACCCAGTGCTCATCCCATCAAGTGTACCCCTCAGTGCCCGTCACCCATTCTCCCCCACCCCCGCCCTCCTCCCCCTCCACCACCCCTAGTTCATTTCCCAGAGTTAGAAGTCTTTATGTTCTGTCTCCCTTTCTGATATTTCTCACACATTTCTTCTCCCTTCCCTTATATTCCCTTTCACTATTATTCATATTCCCCAAATGAATGAGAACATACACTGTTTGTCCTTCTCCGGTTACTGTGGCCAAGTTCAAAAAGGGTGTTGCCTGAGTTCTCCTCTGGGATTTTGATGGAATCTTGTCTCACATTTAGATCTTTCATCTATTTTGAGTTTATCTTTGTGTATGGTGCAAGAGAGTGGTCCAGTTTCATTCTTCTGCATGTGGATGTCCAATTTTCCCAGCACCATTTATTGAAGAGAGTGTCTTTCTTCCAGTGGATCGTCTTTCCTCCTTTATCGTATATTAGTTGACCATAAAGTTCAGGGTCCACTTCTGGGTTCTCTGTTCTGTTCCATTGATCTATGTGTCTGTTTTTGTGCCAGTACCACACTGTCTTGATGAACACAGCTTTGTAGTACAACCTGAAATCTGGCATTGTGATGCCCCCAGATATGGTTTTCTTTTTTAAAATTCCCCTGGCTGTTTGGGGTCTTTTCTGATTCCACACAAATCTTAAAATAATTTGTTCTAAGTCTCTGAAGAAAGTCCATGGTATTTTGATAGGGATTGCATTATACGTGTAAATTGCCCTGGGTAACATTGACATTTTCACAATATTAATTCTGCCAATCCATGAGCATGGAATATTTTTCCATCTCTTTGTGTCTTCCTCAATTTCTTTCAGAAGTGTTCTATAGTTTTTAGGGTATATTTTGAGAACCATTTGAATGGTAAATGGTTCTCCAACCTTTTATTTTCAGGTTGTAGGTGAATCAACATTCTTAAATGAGTTTGCCCACCCTTGATCTCACTTCAATCTATTTATCTTTTGGTTTCTTCCTTGTTGAACTTTTTTCATTTTTAGTTTTATCCATTCCTCTGAGAATGGAAAAAAATGGCAACAAGTGATATCAACTTACTTTATTTTCTAGTAGGGACCCTACTTTTTTAGATTTTTAAAATCTTTTCATTAACATTGTTTTGATGCTTTCAAGTCTCATTAAGTAACTGATCGACATCCCTTACGGCAGCTCTCTAAAGACTTATATGTTCTAAAAAAAAAAAAAAGACTTATCCGTTCTTTGATGATCTGGTTTTACTCTGTATATTATTTCCCACTCATGCTTCTTCCTTTGTATCAAGTTGTTTTAATTTCCCCAGCCTCTCTTGCTTTTCTTTCTCCTTTTCCAAATCTTTGTTTTAAATCATAATTTGGACTCTTCTTTTAGAATCTTTCAAAAAAGGGACACCTGGGGTGGCCCAGTGGTTAAGCATCTGCCTTTGGCTCAGGGCGTGATCCTGGAGTCCCGGGATCGAGTCCCACATTGGGCTCCCTGCATGGAGCCTGCTTCTCCCTCTGCCTATATCTCTTCCTTTCTCTCTCTCTCTCTCTGCCCCCGTCTCTCATGAATGAATGAATGAATGAATGAATAAATAAATAAATAAATAAAATCGATCTTTAAAAAAATAGAATCTTTAAAAAGAATTTTAGAAATGCCAACTGCCTATTCTATATTAGTCCTAGCATTGAACTTCATAGAATTTTAATTTCTCCCCACTGGTCTCAGTATGACTTTTATTGTCTGCTTCTATTGCTTCATCATCAGAATTCATCCTTGTTTGACATCAATAATTTATGCTCTTATCTTTGTTATTTTTCCTATTATTTTCCTTAAGTTTCTGCTGATACAATGGTTTTTGTTTGCTTCATTTCTTGGGGGGTCTTGCTCAATTCACTTATTTTAAATAATTTGTTTTGTTTTGCTTTGAGTTATTTTGTCTATTAATTTACCCCTAAGTACTCTTTTAGCTGTATTCCACTATTTTATTTTATTTTATTTTATTTATTTTATTTTAAGTAGGTTCCACACCCAACATGGGGCTTGAACTCATGACCCTAAGATCAAGAATTGAATGTTCAACTGACTGAACCAGTCTGGCGCCCCTATATTCCACAGTTTTAAATAATAATTTTGTTTTTGTTCCTTTCTAAACAGTTATTTCCATCGTGATTTTTTAAATCCAAGAGTAATTTAGGGGTATACATTTAAGTGTCCAAAGCTTTTTTGTTTCCTTTTACTATTTTTATTTATTTTTTAAAAGATTTTATTCATTTGAGAGAGAGAGAACGCACGAGTAGGCAGGGTGGCAGGCAGAGGGAGAAAGGAAGAAGCAGAGCAGGGAGTCTGGGCTCAATCCCAGGACTCCAAGATCATGACATGAGCCAAAGGCAGATGCTTAATTGACTGAGCCACCCAGGCGTCCCTCCTTTTACTGTTTTTAATTGTTTGCTTTGTAATTTTTCCAGCTTTACTGAATTATAATCAATAAATAAAATTGTAAGATATTTAAAATGCACAATGCAATGATTTCATATATGTATACACTGTAAAAGATTCCCCCATCGAATTAACACATCTTTCACCTCAAATATTCTTATTCTTTTTTTGCTCAGAGAGATCATTTAAGTTCTTTCTGAGCAAAATGCTATTATACAATGTAGTATCCATGTTATACAATAGATACTCAGGCCTTATTCAATTTACAACTGAAAGTTTATACCATTTTACCTACCTCTCCCTATTTCCCCCACCCAGGTTTTTGAACTAAGTTATATATGTTATAATATGTTATGTTACATATGACATAATCATAAATATGTATAAGGCATTATATTATCGGTACTTTGAAATTTGCTCTGCCTTTTTTGTGATGACTATATACTAAATTGCTGTAGATTTTCCATATGCTCGCATAAAGAATAGCTATTCTATATTTGTTGTGCATAGGATTCTATACAGATTTATTACATCAAGCTTAGAGATTCTGTTCAAATGTTCTATATGTTTAGCAATTTTGTGCCTGTAGGGTGTATTATTTCTTATGGAATGGAGTTTAAATCTCATGGTATTATTTTCTATTTTCTTTTTTTTTAAATTTTTTTATTTATGATAGGCACACAGTGAGAGAGAGAGAGGCAGAGACATAGGCAGAGGAAGAAGCAGGCTCCATGCACCAGGAGCCCGATGTGGGATTCGATCCCGGGTCTCCAGGATCGCGCCCTGGGCCAAAGGCAGGCGCCAAACTGCTGCGCCACTCAGGGATCCCTCTTTTTTATTTTTTTAAAAGATTTTATTTATTCATGAGAGACATAGAGAGAGGCAGAGATATACGGAGAGGGAGAAGCAGGCTCCCTGCAGGGAGCCCAATGCTGGACTTGATCCTGGACACCGGGATCACCTCCTGAGCTGAAGGCAGATGCTCAACCACTGAGCCACCCAGGCATCCCTCCTGGTATTATTTTCAAAGCTATGTTGTTCAGTGATGGGGGCTCATATTTTTTATATATTTTTGTTTGTTTTTGTAATTATGGTCAGTTCATTTAAAAAGTCACCATTAATGTTTGTTGTCTTAAACACTATTTTGCTGTTATATTAAAATCAACATGGCTGCTTTCTTTTGTGTGTGTATATATGTATATCTTTATTTTCAATATTTCAGTGTAATTTTGTTTTGAACATGTATCTTGTTGGCAGAGTATAGATGGATTTTTAAAATCATCCAACTTGGTAATCTCTGTGCTTTAATAGGTAAACCTAGCTCATTTATATACACACAGAAGCAAAATTTTAAATTAACACCAGCTAAGAAAATCCAGAATTGAAATAACCTATGTTATTTATATGTTATACTTTTTAAAAGATGTATTTATTTATTTGAGAGAGAGAGAGTGAAAGAGAGAGAGAAAGCACACATGTAGGGGAGGGGCAGAGGGAGAGGAATCCTCAAGCTTACTCCCCACTGAGGGTGGAGCCTTCCAGGGGGATCCATCCTAGGATCCTGAGATTAAGACCTGAACCAAAACCAAGAGTAGGACGTTTAACCAACTGAGCCACCCAGGTGCTCCATAAAATAACTTATGTTACCGAGAGTGTAATCCAAACAGAAAATAATAAAAATCAAGACTTAGATATACAGCAAGGATGAGAGATATTTTTAAAAAGGCATCACAGAGAAGACAGATATCTTAAAATAAGGACAATTTGTTGATAGTATCTCATTAGCAACAATAATTCCAGAAGACGATGTGTTTCAACATTTTTGTTTGTACATTTAAGTGGAAGAGTTGGTTTTTGTTTTCCTTAATTGCTGTCTCTCTTCTACTTTTTTCCCCCCACTCTGCTTCTGTCCTAGGTTCAGGGTTTTGTCTCTTATGGTTTTGAAATTGCTTCTATTCCAGGTCTTGGGCCATAAGTAAGTCGTTTAATGGTGTGCAGCAGTAATACTGTAAATATTACATCTCATGTCTGATCATTTTCTGAAGCCAGCATCTATATCCACTTCTCTCCTTTTGTCTGCAGATTGTCTCCTTTTGCAGGCATTGGTAGGCAGCCTTTTAAAGCAGTTTCTTTCCCTTTTAACTAGATGAGGGGCCAAACTGCTTATTTTGGATCAAGGACTAAGTCTGACTCAGGTTCCTTGTTTAGCCTGAAGCACTTTGTCTCTGTTACAGTGCTGAACAACCTCCTGACCTTCAGTGCCTGCATCTAAGCCAGACTAGAATTCTCACAGCTTTAGCCTGGTTCACCACCTTCTGTTCCATCTTCAGTCCATTTATACATTTATCTTTCATTTGCACCTTACCATGCTTTTGCTTTCTTCTATTTATATTTTGTTTTTTTAAAAAAATTTTATTGGAGTTCAATTTGCCAACATATAGCATAACAAAATCTTCTATTTATATTTTATATATATCTTTAAATTATTGGAGCATAGTAACTATATAAAAGCATGGACTTACTCCCCTATGATATATTTCTTGTGAAGAAGTAACACACAGATTAAAATGGAATATATACTTGTTTTTTTGCTAGTCACTTCCATTATGGGCGTAATACACAAGTCAGGAGGCTTCAAAACTATTTCTCAAGTTGCACAGTAAATTTTCTGTCATTCACTTTATTACCTCATTTTGTAAGTTACTTAAACATCTAATGTATTCTTCAGAATGCATAAAATAGGGGAGGTGGCTGTGGCGCGGGATGGGCGGCTGCGTCTCCACGTGCTCCTCGCGGTGGGTTGAAACCGTTGGCGGGCGCCGGCGGAGAGGACAAGACTTCAAACCTATCTTGGATAGAGAATAGATACTTACCCATTTAGGTAAAAATGGTATTTTTTACATGCAATGCATGTGGTGAATCAGTGAAGAAAGTAGAAGTGGAAAAGCATGTGGCTGTTTGCAGAAACTGTGAATGCCTGTCTTGCATTGACTGTGGTAAAGATTTCTGGGGTGATGACTACAAAAACCATGTGAAGTGCATCAGTAAGGAACAAAAGTATGGTGGCAAAGGTTATGAAGGTAAAACCCACAAAGGTGATGTTAAACAGCAGGCATGGATTCAGAAAATTAATGAATTAATAAAAAGACCCAATGTCAGCCCCAAAGTGAGGGAACTTTTAGAGCAAATTAGTGGTTTTGACAACGTTCCCAGGAAAAGGGCAAAATTTCAGAACTGGATGAAGAACAGTTTAAAAGTACATAATGAATCTGTTCTGGAGCAGGTGTGGAATATCTTTTCTGAAGCTTCCAGCAACGAAGCAGTCAGTAAGGGTCAAGACCAGCAGCCACTCGCCCAGGTGGCCAGCCCTCCCCGCGCAGAGCTCTCTGCCAAGGTTCTAGCCGTTGGAATAAATGACCCCACAGAAAAGCAAGCAGAGGTAAAGAAGAATAAAAGAGGAAGGAAGGAAGAAAGGCAGAAGAATAGAAAGAAAGAGAAGAAAGGACTAACATTAGAAAAACACCAAGAGAATTAGAAAGGTCAGAAGCCTAAGAAGCGCAGAACAGGCAGGAGGCCGGAGAGGAGGCCCCTGCCTCTGCAGGGAAGAAGAGCCAGAGCAAGGCGGGTGAGGCCAAGTGAGCCGCTGACAGAGCTGAGGAGGGAGACACCAAGGAGTCCAGGAGACGCCGAGGAGTCCAGGAAAGCCCAGCCTGGGAAGAGAAAGCAGAAGCACTCGGAAGATGACATAGAATCTAAGAAGAAAAAGATAAAGTTCTCAGGACCTTCAGAGGGTGGAGAACCAGAGGACCACGAATCTCCTGCAAAAGGTAAATTCAACTGGAAGGGAACTATTAAAGCAGTTCTGAAACAGGCCCCAGAGAATAACTAGCAATCAAAAAGCTGAGGAAAAAGGTCTTGGCGCAGTATTACACAGTCACGAATGAACATCACAGATCGGAAGAGGAGCTCCTGACCATCTTTAACAAGAAAATCAGCAAGAACCCCACCTTTAAGTTACTAAAGGACAAAGTCAAGCTTTTGAAATGAGCATTCTTATATTTGAAAATTTAATCCATCCTGTTGATTTCTTTCACTACTGTTTATAAAATATGTAATGACGTATAACAACTCCCAATTTTGCTTTCCAAAGCTATATTTTTAAGTTAAAGAAAAAGTCTATTTTTTGGTAGAACTTTTATGAGAAAATATATTCTTAGCCAAAATTCTAAAAAAAAAATGCATAAAATATCTCAAAATAAAAGACTAAACCAAGAGCTAAGATATTCAACAAAAAATTTACAAGCTATATATATTTCTACATTTTAATTATAACACAACTAAAAATATTACTTGAGACAATCTTACCTCTTCAAAATTCCCTAAATAAAATAGCACCTTGCCAGGTGATATTTTTATTAAGTTTAAGGATAAGTTAGTATTTATACCTGTGAGAAATTTGAAAACATTATTAATCACATAAATATTGGTGGATCTGTTCTAGTCAAACCCCTACCCTTGCCAGATAAGTGAATGGTAAAACCAGAAAAATTATTTGGCTAGAGGAAAGGAAGAAAATATTAGAAGTCCTATCTTCTTGTTTCTAACGCAGTGCTCTTTCCACAACCAAGATAGCACCTCACACATACTCTATTCCAACCACCTACATTATACCTGGATATAATCACTTAATAATAATTTTCCAGAATCTGTAAATAAAACTCTGCAAAGATATGTGGGGAAATAGAACTGTGAGGAGTAAGGAGCGACAGTAAGTAAATTCAGTAATTATTTTTACCTAGATAAATTTACGAAAAGTTTACCTGAGAAAATGTTTCCTTTTTGTCTTCAAGTAAATCCTGAATTATCAGAAGAGGCTCGCTTTTCCCACAGCTCTCCTGGCTGATGAGCCTGTCCGCATAGTTGGGCTGCGGGAAGATCACGTGACTCTCCCGCGAGCCCGCGGTCAGGGACACCTCGTGAGAATAGGTCTGCAGGAACGCCCGCACCCCGTCCACGCCCACAAACTGCGAGGCCGAGGCCGGCACGCCCAGCAGCCCTCCTCCTGCAGCCTGGAGCAGACGCGACGCGTGCCAGCGCCTCAGCCTGAGCGCCAGCAGCACGATGACAAAGGCGAGGAAGACGCAGGAGACTGCGGCCACGGCCACCACCAGGTACAGCGTGAGGTCTGAAGCTTGGGAGTCACGTGGGGCTTCCAGGCTGCCCAAGTCAGCCAGGACATCTGGGATGCTGTCAGCAATGGCCACGGTGAGCGTGACGGTGGCCGAGAGAGGGGGCTGGCCGTGGTCCTGCACCGCCACCACCAGGCTCTGCTTGAGCACATCTCTGTCCAGCAGGGCCCGCGCTGTGCGCACCTCTCCCGTGTGCAGCCCCACCTGGAAGAGCCCAGGCTCGCTGGCCTTGAGCAGGTGGTAGGACAGCCAGGCGTTCTGGCCCGAGTCTTTGTCCACTGCCACCACCTTGGTGACCAAATAACCGGGCTCTGCGGAGCGGGGTGCCAGCTCCACGCCTGTGGAACTGTCAGTGGGGAGGACAGGGTACAAGATTTCTGGCGCATTGTCGTTCTGGTCTAGCACGAACAGGCTAATCGATACATTGCTGCTGAGTGGGGGGTCCCCACTGTCACAGGCTATCACTCTCAGTTGAAGGTCCCGAAACTGTTCATAGTCAAAGGATCGCAGGGCATATAAGACCCCAGTGTCTGAGTTGATGGAAACATACAAAGACAGAGGCATCCCTTGAATGGTGTCCTCCACCAAGGAGTAAGTGACTAGTGCGTTCTCATTGCTGTCTGCATCATAGGCTATGGCAGAGAAAAAGGAGGCACCTCTGGGATTGTTTTCCAGAATGAAGGTAGAGTAGGAGTTCTGAGGAAAAACAGGGGGGTTGTCATTGATATCTGTCACTTGGAGTGAAATGTGGTTTTCAGTATACAGAGCTGGAGTTCCATGATCTGCTGCTGTTACTGTGATGTTGTACCTGGAGGTAAGTTCTCTGTCCAGCGTTCTTTCTGTCACTAAATGGTAATAGTTATCATCCAACTTTTCTAATTTAAACGGTATATTTCCAGCAATGGAACATGTAGTGTCACCATTCTCTTCAGAATCCTGGTCATGCACACTGATAAGAGCAATTATAGCTCCAGGAGGAGAGTTTTCTGGGACTGCAGTGGTGACAGAGGTCATGGTCACCTCTGGGGCATTATCATTTATGTCTAGAACTTTGACCAGCACCTTAGCTCTGGCCATGAGGCCGGCACCATCCTGAGCTTGAATTTCCATTGGATAAGTTTTGTGTTCTTCGAAATCCAGGGCTTCTTTATTTGATATTTCTCCTGTGTAAGAATTCAACTGAAAAATATGGGCTATTTTGTGGTCTATATTGTGAAATGAGTATGATACTTCCCCATTGGCTCCTTCATCTGGGTCAGTAGCTTTTACCATAAGCAGCTGAGTGCCCAGTGGCACATTCTCTGGGACACTCATGTGGTACTGTGCTTGAGTAAATGCTGGAGGGTTGTCATTTGCATCTACCACCCGAACACGAATGTGGAGGGTTCCTGAACGGACTGGGCTGCCCCCATCAGAGGCTGTGAGGAGGAGGTGGTGCATAGCTTTTTCTTCCCTATCCAGGGGACTCTGCAGCACCATCTCTGGGTGTTGGGATCCATCAGTTCCCTGTTGCACATCCAGGGAGAAATGAGGATTGGAGCTGAGCTGGTAACTCTGTAATGAATTCATACCCACATCAGGGTCTTGCCCAAAAGGCAAAGGGATCCTGGTACCTGGAGCAGTTATTTCATTCATTTTAAATTCTACTTCCTCTAACTGAAATTGGGGAGTGTTGTCATTAATATCAATTATTTCTACTTCAACAGGGAAAAGCTTCATTTTATCCTCTACCAAGATGTTAAAATTGACCAGGCACCGCGCTCTCTGAGCGCAGAGCTCCTCCCTGTCTATCCTGTCCGCGGTGACCAAGCTGCCGCTTCGAGGGTTCAGAGCGAAAAGCTGCGTCCTACCTCTGGAGACGATGCGGACTCCGCGCTCTTTGAACTCCTGAGGTTGTAGCCCTAGGTCTTCAGCGATGTTGCCCACGAAGAAAGCTTTCTCTGTCTCTTCTGGCACCACGTACCGGATCTTTCCGGGCCAAGCTTCCAACGACAGCCCCAGAAAAACGCACAGCAGGTACAGCTCGCTGCAGCTGGGCCGCTTCCGCCGAATCACCATCGCTCTCTCCCTTCGTAGTTTTCTTCCAGTCCAGTACCAAGAGTATTGTTTCTCTGTTCTTCTAAGCTCAAATTAACCGAATTTTCAGATTTCAGAGCAAAAAGTAGTCCAGAAGTAGGGTCTGGGGAGCTACATGGAGACGGTTTTCAATCTGATGGATTGAAACCTCTGATGGAGGTTCTAAGAAGCTATTTTTTTCTTTTTTCTTCTGGGGTGTGTGTGCTTGCGCGCTGCCTTGTATCTCCTAGACTGGTGAACAGCGGCGCCCAGAGTCCGCACCGGTTACTACACCCCTATATAATACTTAATTTTCCCTTCTCCTTAACTCCTCTATCTTTCCTTAAGTCTTGGTTTATTGTCAAGGAAGTAGTTATGCATTCTACAACATATGCATGAAAATCAGAAACTACTATGTTTATTTAACTGTATCTTTACTAAATTGCAATATACAGGAGAATCCCAGCATATCTAAGCTATCTGCTTTCCCTGTTTGCTATTCAGGTAATATCATCACAGCAAACAAATATCATACCTCCACCTCTCCACTATATCTTGACCACTTGACAGTTTCTCAGACTAGAAGAGCAACTGTCCTTTGACTGGAGATTGAAAAAAAAAACCAGGGGATAAATAAACTTTTAGAATGTAAGCTGGCCTTTTAAAAAATGGATTGTCCTTTTTCCATTGTGCTTTGAATATTTATCTGAAACCTTTGAATTCTGAAGGACATGTTTTACCCATATCCCTGTTTTCCCCCTTTTCTGAAGTGTCTATGTATTACGTGGATTTTAAAAGACCTTTCATTCACCCAAAGTTAATATATTTTGAATAAAATAACACTGGGACCTTGGAATTTCACTGGAAAATGTCATATAAATATCTAAGACTTCAAATTTAAGAGACACAAGAGGTAATGATGGTCTTCAAAAATGAAAAGGAAATGGCCACATCTTTATTTTTAGACAGGCCATTAAAATAATATGCATTATCCTAAAATCACAATATGTTCTCCAGGAGAAATTGGTTTTCTAAATAGCAAGATTTTTATTTTTTTAAATTTTTTTTATTTATTTATGATAATCACACAGAGAGAGAGGCAGAGACAGAGACATAAGCAGAGGGAGAAGCAGGCCCCATGCACCGGGAGCCCGACGTGGGATTCGATCCCGGGTCTCCAGAATCACGCCCTGGGCCAAAGGCAGGCGCTAAACCGCTGCGCCACCCAGGGATCCCAATAGCAAGATTTTTAAACTAGATTGCCTTCCTTCTTTTACTCAGTGCAATATTAGTAAAAGGTTACTAACTAAAATGTCTGAGGCTTGGAGTGATTTATCTCTACCCAAAAGTTAGGTAAGAATGTTCTCTGCATTCCAGATGTTTACATTTTAGGAACTAATTGGACCAGATACTGGTGGTCAGCCCATGGACATGACTGAGAATGGTCCAGAAAAGAAGGAAATAAAGGAAACAAAAGCCACAAAAATAGTTTTTGGAAAGAGAATATCCATTCCTGTAAAACTGAATCTATGGTTTCTCAGCTTCTCAAAACAAGTATAACTAACTATACGGAGTCCAAAGGCAGAAAGATTCAGTGAATTTCTTTCAATATGCAAGGAAAGGACTTTTTAGCAGAAAATATAAGTTTTTAGAATGTACAGTAATAGCACAAACTTTTCACCAATGGGATTGTCTGGGCAAATGAAAGGAAGTAAAATGCAGAAATTATAACGTGAACTTGTAGAGCTTCTCCTCCAACAACAGCAAAAACCAAGCAGGGTTGATTTATAGCAGGATATTTACAAAACAAAAGTGTTAAAACTCACAGGTAAATATTTGAATCCAATGTAATAATGAAGGTTGCAGTGCAGGCACCACAGAGAATGTCCAGTTAAAAGATGTTTCTTGAATTAAATTAAATTAAGATTTTGCAATACCTCAAGCCACAAAAAGTTTGTAGAAATAGGGCAAATCTCACTGGCTGAAGTAGAAGCAACTCCAAATCTATGCTTGGACCAAAGATAAGACTGAAAGTAGGGCCGGAGGAGCCTCACAGGACCAGAGTGATGGTTAGTCACTTTGAGAAGAGCACAAAGGACAAGTCCACAACCAGGTAAAACTGTAGCTTTGCCTGCCTGGCAGCAGGTACCAGGCCATTGCTGGTGCCACATTGCTACCATTGTGGCAGCAACTCCTTCAAACTGTAGGCAAAGACAAGGTATAGCATGATGACTGTTGGTACTGTGCACAGTGACCATCAAGCCCTGTGGAGCAGCATCTCTGTTGCCAATAGCACCACAGTACTAATCTCTCTTGTGCCTCCCTAGGTTGAAGAGTCATATTAGCTGGTCTGAAGCATGTGATAGGACAGCCAGGCAAAGCTCTTCAGTTGGCACCCACCTTGGTGACCAGGTAGCCAGTTGCATTGTGCATGGTGCCACATCAGAGGGCATGAATTCTGGCTGCAGCTCCTGGCACAGCATTTCCTGTGCATTCTGGTGTGGTGGTCTATCATCATAAGGAGGCTGCTCCGCACTTACTGACATGTTGGGTGATGCTGCACACTGTACTGGGTTGCTGGTCAGGAAGCAATAGGCACATAGGGCCCCACATCTGGGTAAGAAGTACTGAAGTGTATGACGGAGGTTTGAGCAGGTCTTCCTATTATCCTGGACCATATAAGAGGCCTGCTGGAGAACAAGAGCATTTTTGTTGATGGGGGTGATACCCAAGGTGATGCTTGCCCTGGAGGAGGACAGCTTGTCCTTGGTGGCTTTGGTGGTAACACTGCACTTCATGTTCTGCTCCCAGTTTAGAATTCCATCTGCCTGTAGCTTAGAAAGAATTATATAGTAATTTTTACAGGTGAACTGTTTGACTATGTGTTTATTACTTCCTGTAATAAGGAGATCTTTCATCTCTCCATTGTTTTGGCTTGGACAACTGTAGTTGTTGCCTTTGTTTTTTAAGATTTTATTTATGAGAGAGAGAGAGGCAGAAGGAGAAGCAGGCTTCATGCAGGGAGCCCAATGTGGGACCCGATCCCTGGACTCCAGGATCACTCCCTGAGCTGAAGGCAGAAACTCAACCGCTGAGCCAGCCAGGCATCCCTAGTTGTTGCCTTTAAGAGTACTAAACACTCAGCTGAAAGTCCTCTGCACAGAATTATAGTTCTCGACCTCTGTTTCAATCAGGATCCTGAAATGGGCCCTTAAACTGCCTCTAATCTTCTCTTCTATTCTATGATGCAAATCTCCTGCTCCAAAATCAAAGATGATACTGTTGTTATTGGATGACAGATGTATGCTGCATGCATTGTGACATTGTGTAGTAAGTGTAGGGGAACTCTACCTTAAGGGTGTCATTTAGGTCAGTGGGGAACAACCTGAAGAATGCAGAGGATGTATTGGAGAGCAGGTTTTCCTGCAGGCAGATTCTGCTGTACTCCTTGTGGCTCAGTATGGGAGGACGGCATTAGCATCCAACTCTTGTACCTTGTCATGAGCTGTTTCTACCCCTCCCCAACACTAAGTGGTGGCAACTCTGCTCCTCTGGTCCATTCCTGCCCTAGTTATCTCTTTTACTTGTGGGGACTAGGGAGACAGCTACTGAAATTAATGTGATAAATTTATAGAGAATTACTTGCAGGATCTAAACATGGTGAGGTTTTAGAGTGAACTATGCTACTATTAAGATGTTTTCCACAATTTTTAAAACAAAATGTCTATTAAAAGCTATAAATCATTTATATTCAGGGTGAATACATTTATATGAAAAGGCATTTATGGAATTTCCCCTGAGGGTTCCAGTTTCAGGGGCCTAAAGACTTCCTTTAGCATATCTGCTAGATCTAGGCTGTCATTCTCTGAGTTCTTCACTTCTGGCCTCAAGGGTGGTAAAGAGGCTTCCTAGCACTTACTTGCAGTTCTCCTCACTGAGACACACTTCTCTGCCTAGATTCTCTACTTTTAAACCAGTGGATTCTCTTCTGGAATGTTGCAGCCCATCTGATGTGTAGTTTGCTAGGCTGAATAAAGACATGAGCAAGGGAAACTGCTTTCTGCCCATGGTCGGCCTTCCCTTCAGAGAACTTCTTATCTCTTCTTGGTGCTGCTTCTCAGATTCTAATACACCTTGCCATGGTTGCTCCCAAATAACAAAGGTGTGCTGGAGAGAAAAGGCAACATCTCACTGTGGGTCATTAAACATCCTGACATTTCTGACCCAGATACTTGGAAAAGATAGTGGGAGAGAAGATGTTTGGAATCCACTCCAGAGTTATTTCACAAAAGTCAGCAGGGATCACTGGGTCCAAATACCAATGGATTGCTTTGTTTCACTCTAGCCATGGATTGGCAGACAGTGGCACCCAGAGATCTGGTACAATATCAACTGAATGTTATTTCTCAAAGTCAGGAGACTGTATTTGCTTTATTTCCAAGACTTATTTTAGACAAAGGCTGCAAGTTGTTATTTCTTTTTGACAAAATATTTTAAAATGGCTTTTTCACATTATTAAAACAGAACGCTTTTATTAAAACTCATCAACTTAAAATAATTCACACAGAATTTTCCCTCTTGTTATTTCTTTTTGAGGATAATACACTACTGAAGCCTCTTTTCCTTAAAAAAATTTTCTGGTCAAGAAATTATCCATTGTAAAAATAATTTTTCATTACAAATGACATTCTCACTGTAAATTCTACAATAAAATTTTTTATTGTACAAAAGTAGGAAATACTGATAAAAATTATAAACTACCAGTAATTATAAAATCATTCTATCATATTTGATGACTACTCATACTTTTTAAGTACATATACACTTTTTTCTTTTTTATTGTGGTAATATACACATAAAATAAAATTTAAGATCTTAACCATCTTTTAAAACAATTGTTAAGTACACAGTTCAGTGGTATTAAAATACATTCATAACGTTGTGCAATCAGTACTACTATCCATCTCCAGACCCTTTTAATCTTGTAAAACTGAAACCCATACCCATTACCTAATAACTATTCATTCTCCCCTCTCTCCAGCCCCTGGCAAACACTATCTATTTTCTATGATTTTTGGCTACTCTAAATACCTCATACAAGTAGAATCAAGCAGCATTTATCT